GGCAGGCGTCGTAAAAAAANGACTTTATGTAATGCTTAAATCACAAGCAGAACTTGCAGAATACCTATTGTATTTTACACCAAGTATCTGAAGAGAGGCAGTAATGCACAATATTAAATATACCGTCTCTGGTGTATATATAAGGGTCTCTGCTGTGCATTACATTTGCAACTGGAGGGATAAAAACATCCACGTGCTAATAAACCTTCAAGATTTTTCAACAACTGTATTTTAATCAATTCATGTGACCACGATTCACCTCCCCAAAAAGGGGCATCAAAGTAATTCAGTCAACATGAAAGCACTCTGTGAGGCTTCCAAATTCAACACAAGTCTGAAAAGCCTGCAGGATGGAGTTATATTTCAAGACAGGGATAAAACGGCTTAAGTTGTGACGAGATGGTGTTCAAATAAGAAAGTCTTCTGGAACACAGAAGGACAAGTTGCCTTTTTAATAAGAGGAGGTCAATGCTATAGTGATACAGTTTAATGCACCCTCACAATTTCAAAGCTGTGTGGGGAGATTGAGTGCAGCTGCTCTTATACGCAGTCAATTCTCTGGGTGTAGACTAAGTGCAGCTGTCCTATATAGTATGGTATATAGGCAAAATTTTTATAGCTACGTTTCACCCACAAATACACAGTCAATTCACTTTACAATACATTCTGCAAAGTGCCTTTGAGACGTCTCGAGGATGTGATAAGGCGCTATAAAAAATGCAAGGATTATTATTATTATTATAAGGATCCGAGTGAAACCTCTTTAGGTGTGTTATGGTAGAACTCTGCCAAGCGCTCTCGGACGAAGCTCTCTCCTCGTGAAGGGCGCTATATAAGTGCAAGTTGTTGTTATGATATTGTTGCTTCACGTATAAGTAATTGAGGTTTGTACCCACATTTTGTCATTTAAAAATCCAGAATTCTGATACTTTGAAATGTGTCATCGTGCTCGGCATCCCATTGTCATAAGTTTCCCTGGATTTACAACATGGTTTCCAGGGTGCTGCTCTGGATATACTGTGAAACGTAAGCAGTTCAGCTCATTATCAGGTTATAATAATAATAATCCTTGCATTGTTAATGTGTTTGTGTTAGCGCCTTATGATATCTTTGAGACGTCTCAAAACACTTCACAGAATATACTGGAAAGTGTAGTGACTGTGTGTTTGTGGGCGAAGCACGGCAGCCAATTGCGCACAGCAGTGGCACACAAACAGCTGTGGATTGAGTGATCAAATTATTATTATTTTTCTTTAGAGGGATTATTACGCCGTAAAGCGATCCACCAATCAACTAACAACCGGGTTCCGACTTATTGTTGGGTAAACAGTGGTGTGTGGAGTAAGGAAATTTGCCTAAGGTTCTTCCCTGCCCAGGAATCGAACCAGGGTTGCGAGGCGAGTGCTCTAACCATTATTCTACAGGACTCCAAATGTGTTGCCAAAGAGCAAATTCACACTGAACAGTTTCATTTACAGCCAACATTCATCAGTAAAGTGGAATCAAGTTGGCGAAACAGCGAGATTTGAATCACGGATGGACCGGCTTTCTGCATGCGCACACAGTGACATCATATGATTGATGACGGGTGACAATATACGCGATATAGAAGCGTTGATCAGCAGACGTTCGATTAGAAGACGAGTTGGAACTTTGTGGACCCTAACTTTCTCCTTAAAATGGGGTTCTTCTGTCTAGAGTGCAGACTGAGTGATGCTCCTCTGGGTATAAAGCACCATATCTGTGGACAATGGTGCTACTCCAACAGTGCACCACAGTGATTTTACAGCCAGGGCCCCTGTACCCTTTAAGATCCTTTTGGAGTCCGGTAGCTTAGTGGTTAGAATACGGATCTTGTAAGCGACAGGACCTAGGTTTGATTCGCAGCAGGGCGAAACATTGGACAAGTTTAGTTACTCCACACGCCTCTGTTTACCTAGCTGTAAGTAGGAACCCGGTTGTTAGTCAATCGGCGGATCGCTTTGTCGGGGTAATAATTCCTTCAAAATAAATAAAAATTGGTCACTCAATCCTTCAAAATAAAAATAAGTTAGGTCACTGCTGTGCGGAATTGGCTGTTGTGTTTCGCCCACAAATATACAGTCAATTCACTTTACAGTATATTCTGTGAAGCGTTTTGAGACGTCTCAAAGACGTGATAAGGCGCTATATCAAATGCAAGGATTATTATTATTAAGCCTGGTTTACAGAGTTGAGGTCATTCTATGCTATTCTCAGTTCTGCTGTGGATTACTGCAGATCTACCAAGCATGTCCTCTCAGAGCTAGTTCGGCCTCAGGGACTCTCTTACCTCTCCCGGGAGGATATTTTTAGACATTGTAATGAGTGGATCTACCAGATTTGACTGCAGAATCTCAAGCTCCCAAGGCATTCGACCGAACACTCGTTTCTCTGTGTATGCAGCACAATTTCAAGGGTGCTCTTCTGAATATTCTGTGGAATGGTAGCAGGTCGACATCACGTTGCCAAAATGCAAATACATAGTGTTTATTCTCTTTCCTTCATTCAAAACAGGTATTTATCAGTAAAATAGAATATACTGAATTCTGAATCACAATCAAAAATGGTGCATTATAATTGTTGTAGGACCATGCAGTCTACACTGAAATTGTTTTTAGGTATTAGCCTGGCTCAGTCACTAGCACTCTCCCCTTTGAGTCAGAAAGCTTTGGATTTAAACTCCACAATTGGATTTTGGACTCACATATTCTATGCTAACACTCCAATACACTGCTGGGGTTTGCTGCATTGTTGTGCAGTGTCGTCTTTCAAATGAGACACTAAACTAAGGTCCTGTCTGCTTGTTCAGGTGCATATAGAGATCCCATGGCAGTATTAGAAAAGAGAAAGGAGTTTCCCATGGTATCCTGGCCGACAATCCTCCAAATAAAATCTGTCATTCACTTTATGGTTGTATGTGGGACATTGCTGTGTGCAAATTGGCTGCCACATTTGCTGACAGAATACACAGTCACTACACTTTACAGTAAATCCTGTGAAGTACTTTTGAGAAGTCCTCCCGATATGAAAGGCGTTATATCAAATGTAAGGATTATTTTTTCCTGTATTAGGAGGAGATATGTTAGGTGAATATTAGGCAGTTGTGGTGAATTGATGCGGGGGGGGGGGGGAGAGGGGTGGGAGGAGAGAGACAGAGCGAGTTCTTTGCTATGTTATATTACACTGGTCATATTGTACTCATTCAGGTTGTAATTGTATTGTATTTGCATCAGGTTATATTGCACTGAATCCAAACTAGCACTGGCATGCAACTGGTCCATTAATTCTAGCATTAGTTTGCAACACATTAATTATCATAACTTAATGCTCTTTGGAAGTCAGGTTTCTCGAAGGACTTTACAGTCAAGAGAGCAGCCTTGACAAAAGAGAAATGAGCCTACCTATCCCGAATGCAATTTAGTTTGTGCCTGGGGCAGCCTCATGGGTAAAATAACCTGATCAGCCAGCAGTAGCAGCAGTGCTTGTGCAGGATGGGATGGTCTATAGAGACACTAGCAGAGCTCTGTACTGTCTTGGCTGGATGACGAAGTGTAGCACCTTGGATACCCAGTGTCAGTATAAAGCACAGAGCAGCACTGTAGACTCTCTGGCTAAGATGGCAAATCAATGCTGAATCTGAGACTCTTTATCAATATTAATAATCCTTACATTAGGATGTACTTCTGATGTGAAAGGCGCTATATAAATGTAATGTGTTGGTTCACACCAGGAGGATGTCTCAAAGTGCTTCACAGGATCTATTGTACAATGTAGTCACTGTGTGTTTTTGAAGGTGATCATCGCAGACAGTTTTATGCACCACAATGAACCACAAAACAGCTAATTTTGGGGGACTGTTTGCCAGGACACCTGGAGAAACTCCCTTCTCTTTCTGAATCCTTAACTTGCATGTGAGCACATGGTTTAATGTTTCATCTGAAGGACGGCACCTCCAACAGTGTAGCACATCCCCAGCTCTGCACAACAGTGTCAGCCTAGATTGTGTTCAAAGTCCTCCACACGAGGCTTGGGTCTGCAGCTTTCTGACTCAGAGACAGGAATGCCATGAATTTAGCCAACTGACCTGTTGTTTGGTCAGTTCAGGCCTCTAAAGATAGAGGCTTTTGATCAGTCACACTGGGCTAGCTTTAAACACAACTCACTGAGCTTTAAAGAAAGTATACTAAGCCACTGAGCCACACTTTGTTCTAAAAATTGCACTCAATTTGCATTTTGACCCCATGCAACTGAAACCATCATCCATGCCGTTGCCACATCTAGTCAATTTTTCCACCATCCTCCTCCCCAGCCTTCCCAGCTCCCCTCTCTGCAAGCTACAGATCATCCACAATTCTGCAGCCTGCGTCCTCTCCCTTACGAGGTTCCATCCTTGCTCAGCTTCACTGGCTCCCCGTTCCCCAGAGGATCAACTTTAAGATCCTCCCCCTTACCTTTTGAAGCCTGCCACGTACTTCCCCAGCCACTTCCTCCGCACTGCAACTCTGGTTTTCCACCCCCACCTGCTCTACCATCAGCAGTCAGGGCTTCAGCCACTTCTACTCTGCTCTCCATAACTCTCTTCCCAAATCCCTCATCTCGCCCCTCCGTCTCTGCTTTCAAAATCCATCTGAAAACCCATCTCTTTGACTGCGCACTTTGATCATCTCTCATCTGTCTCCCTCCTAATGAGGCAAAGATCATTGAGACATTTTCCCTGCAAATGTCTCAATGAGACAGGAAAAAGGTATGGTGCAAATTGTTGTTCCAAATCAAGACTATAATTAACTGTACAATACGCAAACAGCACGTATTCAGAGACCTGGTTTCTAATAAATTATGGATCGGATCTTATAAGACCTCTGACATTGCGATACCTTTAGCTGTAGAAACCTGAAGAGATTTACATCACCATATATGTAACCCAGTTCTTTAATTGGCCAATTTTAGTGTAATGTCGGCTTGTTTCAGTGTGTACTTACAATGGATTTCAAATCCTGAGTCTCCAACAGCTTCAGGGAGGAGTCGTAGCAGCTTTTCAGTTGCCGTTTGAGACGTTCATCACAGTTTCCTTTAGCTATCGGCCCTACAGTGTGGATGACATCTAAAAACAGAAAAATAGACATGTTCTCAGTTACAAGAGTCCTGGAATTTATAGTCCAATTAATGTTTGTGAGTGAATAAATTAGCCATTAAACAGTTATTAAACCCCTCTTCAATAAACTAAAGCGCATTGGAATTGTATGCAGGAAATCTATTTTGCATCATTTTTTTTTCTCTCTATTTACACATAACACTGTTTTATGTAGCTCATGAAATGAGCCTGATAAAATGTCAGCATTTGGCAATGTTTTCCATGACACTGTGTCAGATCATGCCACAAAGCCTTTTAATTTCCTCTGAGGAAGAAATCTTACACTTTGCAGAAATGTACTGAAGGCCTGGTGTCTGAAACTGGTTACATTCAAGACAGGAATGAATTTGCAGTCTGGATGCAAAATCAATTACTTCGTCTTTTATTCAATTTAGCCTCACCTTCAATACTATAATCTTGCTATTTCATGGATAGCATAATAAGGTAGTTACCTGCCGAGCCTAATTTCACCGCAGTGAATTACAAAGAGGGAACCAGCTCAGGAAATTCTATTCAATCATACTGGATGACAAGATGACATTCCACCGTGGATTACGTTTGTGACCATAATTAGAATGACAATGCCCAAAAGCCAAAGACTGAGATTTGTCTGGCATGCAAAGAATGAACAAACTCAAAGCCCTACTTCTGCAAATGCAATGCGACTGCAGGATAAGGTGTCTCGCTGGAGCACTGGTTCGCTTATACATGAGAACTGCTAGACGAAAGACTAAGGTCCTTCCAGTTGGCCTTCCACCATCATGGCAGTCGCATGTACACTTCATGTCCCAAACTCGATACTGTATCCCAAGATATTATTTCCTTAAATAAATCTATCTACTTTGCTTTTGAAAGAATCAACACTTTCTGTTTCCACTGTCTATACTATGGGTGTTCTGTGCAATGGCGATTACTGACAGTGCTTCCAACTTCAAACTGGCTAGAGATATAATACATCGCCTTTCATATCAGGAGAATGTCTCAAAAATGTCTCAAAGCGCTTCAGAGGATATATTGCAAAGTGCACTGTAATTATTCTCAATCCACAATACTGGTATATTAAGTAACTTTTATTCTCAGTGATTTATTTGATAAAATGGTTCAAAATTAATAAAACAAACCCCTCACATTTATACATAGAATTAAGACTTATCAAAACATTCAAGATAAAATTCTTCAAGCCGTCACCTGGTTTAAACCAAAGCCAATTCCATATTATTCTCACTTCAAGCAACAAAACAACACCTTCCTCCAACACAGCAGTCTTTTCCTTTTCCGTCGTTTGCCTGAGTGTTTCACACTCATCCCCCGACATCTCCCCCCATCCCGCTCCAATCTTTTTAAATTCTGTTCTCGCTAGTGCGGGCACTCTCCGTTTAGGTGAATTTCCTCATCACACATGACATTTTCACAGTGCTGGTCACCCATCTATGGTTCTGCCCACAATTCCAGCACCTTGTCTCAGGGCATATTATCACCAAGTACCCCAACATCCCACACAGCCTAGGCATTCCTCGGTATACCATATACCCTCTCACTGCTCCCAAGGATATCATACTCGGCAAGTGTTCTCCTGCCCCGGAAACTAAGGATCTGGAAATAAACAGACCCACTACCTTCTTGCTCCACTCCACAGTCCTAGGCAGTAATTTTTATCGCCGGTCCCAACACCCAACAATTTCTCTTCAATCAGACCGCTGTATCATGCCCATTCACCCCCTCACGTGGAACTGCACAGTGACCACCTTCACACTGCTCCTTGACTTCAAATCTCTCCCCCAAAACTTTGACCAACTGTGCATTTTTGAAACTTATGTGAAAACTTTCCTCTCCCAGCACCTTGATCAAACAGTTCAGTTCCTCTGCATGAAAACCAAGTTCCTTCTGCACAATTTTTCAGCTAAACTCACACCTTAGCAGAGATGCTCCATTTCCTTTCTTCAAACACAGCTGAATTGCACTTACTCTAATTACTGATTTTTTTTTGGTCAGCCGGGTGTCTGACACATGCGGCAATCCATCACCGTGCTTAAGAGTATCCAATCCAAGCTGAGTTTTCCATGCACCCCACTTACACATGGATAGATTCCATAAATAGATTGTTGGAATAATAATATAATAATAATCCTTGCATTTGATATAGCGCTTTTCATGTCTTCTCGACATCTCAAAGTGCTTCACAGAATAGACTGTAAAGTGAATTGACTGTATATGTGTGGGCGAATGGAATGATAGGAATGTGCACTCTCTCCCTGGAAGTATTAGGCACAGGTTGGCAAGAGCCAAGGTTTGTGGACCCCAGAATGTGTGTTGGGGAAAGTGCTGGAGTCTAACCAGCTAACACCAGCTTGCCATTGATAGCCATATCCGGGGCTCTTTACATTGCCTAGTGTTTGTTCTATTATAATAATAATCTTGCATTTGATATAGCGCTTTTCACGTCTTCCAGACGTTTCAAAGCGTTTCACAGAATAGACTGTAATGTGAATTGACTGTATGTTTGGGGGCGAAATGCGGCAGCCAATTGCGCACAGCAGTGTCGCACAAACAATCATGGAATGAAGTGACCAATTTATGATTGTTTTTTTTCTTGAGGGATCGCTATCAGACGTGTCCAGTAAGAAAATTTGCCCAAGGTTTCACCCTGCCCGGAATCGAACCCAGGTCTCTCGCTTGCAAAGCGAGTGCTCTAACCACTGAGCTACAGGACTCCACATTGTTCTCTACACAATGCTAAAATCGGGGGAATGTATTACCCGTCTCTCACTCTCTCTTTCTGCATGTATTCTTTTCCCAATATTTACAGATCTAACCCTCTTAGCCTCTTTTATCAGGTGAGCAGCAGTAAGTAACTGAACAAAGTAGCACTTCGCTTCCTGCTGAAGTACTACAACATTAGCATAAAATGAGACACCTGCAGTAAAAGGGACCCGTGTGCACATTTCACGGACAGATCAGTAGAATATCCAGAGTTTGCTGGACTCTTATTCAATGTAATGCTCATTAGCCTAACACATAATACAGAAGTAACAGGAATAACTGTTAAGTTATTAATTTTAGTTATTACATTTTGCCCACAAAATGTACAGGGTATTCTGTGAAGCACTTTGAAACGTCTTGACCACGTGTTAAGGCATTATATCAAATGCAAGTATTATTATTATTAAGTATAAAGATTGTTTTTCTAGGTTCCAGTGATAATCTCTGCAGCGCATTTGCAAACAGTCAAGTATTCTGAACAGTTAATTGGTACTAGTCCATTCAAATGGTGAGTGTTAAAAAAAAATAATAAACGGTGGCAAGAATCCAATTCCTGGGCTGAGCCTCCAAGCTAGACTGGCAACTTGTTTTTATATCAAAGCGGCCAGATTGATATTCAAGCTGTGCCTTTCACATTATGTTAGAATTTAGCAGGTGGTAGGACATTGGGGCCATTTCCATCATATTATCCTGCTGGGGAGCAGAAAGTGTGCAATTGATGGTGGGAAAAAGGAAGACAAATTTCCATAGCTCCTATATTAATTCAAGTGGTGTGAATAGATTTGGCCTCTGCACAAAACATCAGATTACATCCCCCTACTGCATCCTTGAACATACTTGTATCACACACACTTAAATGGGACATAGGGCCCAAAGATCTCTGCTCTTAGGCTTAAGACTTTTAAAAATGTTCTTAAAATTTTGTATCGTGTGGAATTTGGGAAAATACTCCTCAAATGAAATCTCAATTAAGAAGCTGATTTTTCTGTCCTTTTTGGATACAGCATCAAATTTCTCAAGTTTGAGACAATTGCTTTAAAATGTCAGATTCTGTAGCACTTTGGAGAAAGAGTCCTTGAATTCAGTCTTATTCAGCCGGCTCATTTGATCTCAACTTTCCAGAATACCACCTTCTCAATGAAGTTTCAAGTTGTTTCTTAAAATGAGTTCCAGTGTCCTGACCTCAATCGCCCTTCCTGGTAACCTGTTCCAGCTGTTGATTAATATCCGTGCAATAAATTCAGCTTCACAATTCTGAACCTACGGCTTTTTCTTCTGTTTTGACATATGTGAAAGTATCCACCAGGCTATAAGACTGAGAAAGGTAGGAAAGAATAAAGGTAATAAAATACTCCCTCTTTGATCACATTGGCCTTTTCAACTCCAATATGTTTACAAAATCAGTTAATCATAGATAATAATTCAAATATTCCTGAATTGACAATGACCTAAACCATAGGATCACTTCAGTGGAAATGTCTGGTAGAATAGGGGACACCTGCCTGACCAAAAAACCCCAGACCGAGTCAATTCATTCTTCTGCCAGATATTTCGTAAGCGAGAGGTTCGATTCCTGGGTGGGGCGAAACCTTAGGCAAGTTTCCTTACTCCACACACATGGCTCTGTTTACCCAGCAGTAAGTAGGAACCTGCTTGATTGGTGGATCACTTTCTGGGGGTAATAATCCCTTCAAAATACAATAATAATTTGATCACTCAATCCACGACTGTTTGTGGGACACTGCTGCAATTGGTTGCCGCAATTTGCCCACAAAATGCAGTCGCTATACGTTACAGTATATCCTGCGAAGCGCTTTGAGACATCTCAACGACATGATAAGGCACTATATCAAATGCAAGGATTATGATTATTATTATGAAAAAGTGATTCTCTTGTGCTGCCTTCTTCCCTTCACCAACGGACGTTGTGATCGTTGGATAATAATAATAATCCTTGCATTTGATACAGCGCCTTATCACATTATTCAGACGTCTCAAAGCGCAGAGATAGAACAATCATAGCAGTTACTCAAAATGAGAATATCTCAATCAACCTTCGTCTGGTTTAAAATCCCAGAAATGTTGAAGTTTCAGAACACTGATTTTCCCCCTAATACATGGCTTTAATCAGATTCTGCGATCATTATGAAAACAATACAAGATGTAAGAATTAAGCACGACAAACTGGAATGGGAGTAAACCCTGAACAT